CAATTTTTTCGTGCAAAAATTGTGTGAGAAGATTTTCAAGTTTCGCTAGAAAACTTGTGAATGAGAGGGTTTGCAATTTTGTCCTTGTAAAAATTGCAAGTGGAGAAATAAAATAAGTTGTTTGTGGATGTAAGCAAGAAGTGTTGAACCACGTTAATTTTTGAGTTTGTTTCTCTTATGTTGTTTCTCCAATGTGTGTGCTTCCGCTGTTGATGTTGATGTTTTTCTTTTCCCTCTGGTACCCAACACTCTTTAATTATTTTATTTCTAGTCGATGTGAAATTTAAGTTTTTTCTAACAAATAATTGTCACTAATAGTAAATTTTGATGTGATGTAAATACATTTTTAGGGGCCATTATATAATAGTCATTAATATTTTTATTAAATAATAAAATAGAGGCAATTAATTTATTGCCATTAAATAATTATCGGTAATACTAAATTTTGTTGTAGTGCTAACATTCTCTCTTTAATTGGTTGAAATTTATTTTAAAAAAAATGCAGAAACTAGTGAATCTCACACTCTATTTAATGACTCGCTCTTGATTTTGTAGTTTTCAATAAATTTTTACTAATTAAAATAAGTATGTTAATAGAAATGTGTTGCTAGCATTCCTCAAAACATTTTTATTATAATTAAAATATGTATTTATTATTATTTTATTTAATTTAGTATGACAAATGTAAAGTTGTATGTTTTCATTAATTATTGTTATTTTTCAATAATTATATGTTGTTATGATTTGTGATTTGTTGTTGAGAAACTTTATAATTTAGGAATCCTTATGAGATTTAGGTGATTTAGGGAGTTTTTTGGACAAATATCCAATTTGACTTTGAGGATAAGGTGTATAAGATTTTTTTTTTAAGACTTGAACTTCATAAATTTATTTCTTAAGAAACTTTAAGAGATGTTAGAGAAAGGAGATCTGGAGTTTCAAAATTTCTTTTGAATCCTTAGAACAATCATATAATCCTTCCCTGGAATTGTGTTAACTGGTAGTGTGGTGGTCTAAGCTTGTAGAGCTGAAGATCGAAGTGTTGGTGTGAGTGTAGAGTTGCCTCAATGTATTTTTTTTTCCTTCTTCCCTATTTCTCTATGATTCCAAGGTAAGGAAAGTTTGAACCTATTTGATTGTTGAATTGGTTGAGTTGCATGTTGATTGATGTTCAAAAATCATGGTCATGTTGGCTGATTTTGAGAATTTAATGTTGAGATTGATGTCTTATTGTTCATGGAGTGTGTTACAAGCTAATCTCAAAGGTAGCTTAGTTATACAAGCTAATGCCATGGTAGACACACACTCAAGTTATTTTACCATAACATGAATACTAAATTTCTTATTTTAAGCAATGAAATTTGAGAAATTATGTTGTTATGGATGTTTATCCAAATTGGTTGTTCATCTAGTTTGATTAAAAAGATCGCAGTGTAGTTGATTCGGTAAGGTCAAGCCACTTAGACCATTTACCTATGTTGTACATATAGTTAATTTGTTGTGCATGTGCGATTGATTTGTTAAGTTATGTGATACATATGTCATGTTGTAGTGTAGTTCAAGTTGAATAATAAGTTATGTATGTGATATGTTAATGTTAATGTTGCTTAGATGTTATGTTGAATCATAATGAATTGCATTATTGTGTGCTTCTAATTGAGTATCATGTTGTATTGTATTGATAGGTTGTAGGTTAATGCTATGTTGAAGCATGTTAAGTTGTTTATGTAGATGGCACGGTAATTTCACTCCTATACTGATTTGTTGATTATTTTGAATATTAGTTTATCCTTGTATTTTTCTATGTTAGATTAAAATAATCATATTTAATATAGGAGCAGAATAAAAATATGTTATCGATGGAGTTCGCTTGGAGGTCATGTTGTAACGATATGTTAGTAGTGTTGTTTGACCAACAACTAAAATTTGTTTTCATACTTTAATACATGATTACTCTGTGGGTATATATATATATATATATACACATGTGTGTGTATCAAGATATTATAATTATTTTAATCATAAATAGCTGCATTTATATTTTTTTGTTGTTCATAGTTAAGTTGTTAAGTATATTGACCTAATACATTGTTATAATAAAGATCTATTAGCAATGACCAAATTTATGCAACATTTAAATGAATAATTAAAATAAATAAGATAAATATTAATTAGAGAAAATTATTCTCTTAATTATCATAGTCAAAACGTTACATTTAAATATAGTTAAGCACAATTAAGCTGACATAAACCTAATTCACTTTAGTGTCAGCCAAGTAGACAAAAATAAATACATAATGTATAAATTAAATTAAATTTATTTTAAATGTTGGCTCAACCAATATTTATTTTATTTTCTATTTTAAATGTATATTTCTCGCAACTACCCTTAAATTTTACTCCTTATCTATGGTAAACTATTCTTATTTTATCTTTATTTATATACTTAATATTTTAACTACTTATTTCTTTATTTACTCTCGTTAATCTTTATTTCTAAATTGGTTTTCAATATTTTTTCTCTAAACTATCAATAACTAACTTCATATTATAACTTAAATTATTTATTATAAATTTAAAATATAACTTATATATTCAAATATATTTATTATAATATAATTTATAATTAAAAATATCTATTTATTATAAATTTAAATTATGCACAAATAAATATTTATCCTTAATATTACAAAGACTAAAATACTAGTTAAAAACACATATAATATTAAGTTAAATTTATCTATTTATATTTTTATTTATGAACACCAAATTTGATATTAAAAGATTTATAACACTCACACAGATACTCAACTAATTACATTAATTTTTTTCTCAGATATATAGTCTAAGACTTTTTTTTCCCCATCAATATCAGTCTTTATGAAAGGCTAAAACCGGAAAAAAAATATAAGTAGAATTTTCAACCATCTTAAAGACTAATATTGTTAAATAAATAATAAGAACCTAAAAATAGAATATATATATATATATATTATATATATAAGAATTAAAATCATAATTTAAAATTTTAATAAAAAGGAAAATATATACATTTAATGTCATTATCATTATTAACTTTAATCTAGAGAAGATAAAATATTATTAACACTAATTCTTTCACTTCAGTTAGACTTATACATAGAGAAATAGAATAAGAGTTAATCACTTATATATTGTCAGTATAAATATTTTTACACTAACAACTAATCAAATCTGTTAATAGTAGAATATAATTTCCTCATTTAATTTAATTAAAATAAAAAAAATGCTATTAACTCATAGAATAATGTATCTTGTTTATCGTACCTTACACGTTCGAAGACGTTTTGTTTGGACCGCGTATGAAAATACATTACTAACTTCAATGCACATACCTCGAACCATCGTCAAACCGTGTTCACAATCTCCGCGTTACGTATTTACGAACCAAATCAATTATCACTTTTACATTTATTTTATTATATCTTAATTTAAGTTCAATTCAATCAATCCAAACTAATTTCAATTAGATATCTTTCTTTTATTTTGAAAACAAATTCCAGGTGTCTCTTGTAAACACAACAATACAAGAGACACCACCAATAACATGGTTATAATAAATATATTTTTGATTCTTATAATATATATATTTTTTGTTTTTAATTTCCAAAAAAAATTGCTTAATTATTTATACAATATAATATTTACTTAAAATAACTTATTTATAAACATTTTTAAATATAAACTTAATTATGATTTTAGTCTTTTGAATTTGAGATATATAATTTTTTGTTTCAGTCTTCAAAATATAAAAAAAATAAATTATTATGATCCTTAAATTTAAAAATTATTTTTTAGTCATTATAAATTTAAAAATATTATTTTAATTTCTGATAACAGTGACAAATTGAAAAGGACAAAAATAATAATTTGTTTTCATATTTTGGAGACTAAAACTAAATTTTATGTTTGAGAGACCAAAATAATATAATCTTTTTTAATTATAGGGATTGAGAAAATAAATTTTAAATTTGAGAGATCAAAATTATATATATCATAAATTTAAGAAATTAAAAACATATTTAAACCTTAAATATACTATATACTAAACTCTTTATGTTTTAATTCAAAAAACATATTACAATTAAGAAGAATGTTGAAAATAAATGATGTATTGTTAATCCTCTCTCAATAGAAAATAATAAATAACAAGAATCTATGAAAACTAAAAGTAAGAAAACTTAAACATGAGACGAGAGCTAAGGTGATCCAACACATGATGTGGTTTATTGTGGTTAAGAAATGGTGTCCTTTAGATATACACCATTAAAATTTAAATAATCGAGATGAATCACTTATTACATTTGGAGTAATAATTTTTTTTTTTTGTAAAATATTTCTTTAGTGGGTAAATAAAAATGAACTTGGGTGAAAACACGAGGGTAAAATGGTAAAGTGAAGGAAAAAAAAAAAGAAAATGTGAAGTAGAGAGCGCGAAAGTGAGAGTATCTCCGATGGAAACAACTCATTTGAATTGTTTCATGCATTAAAAAATGAAAAAAGTGGTCCCTAATATGTCATGTCAATATTAAACAACTCAAACACAAATTTATTCCAATGGTAAAAAACTTTAAGAAATTCAACTTTTAGAAATTTTTTTCTAATCATTTATGAACCAATTTTATTTTTTTATTAAAAAGAATAATTGCACTACAATGAAAGAAAATAAATTACGAGAAAAAATACACAATAAATAAATATTTAAAATAAAATAAAATAATAATAAATATATAAATATTATACAAAATTAATTTTTATCATTATTATTTTCGAAACGTTCTCAAATATGTTCAATAAGATTTGTTTGAAATCTGATAAAGAATGGTTGCTTGAGAAAGCAACTTTCTCTCTTCTTCAAACAACTCATGTTGCCACGTTAAAGTCCTCTAATAATAAAAAATCAGAACTTGAGTTATTTCACGGGATAAGCAACTCTCATCGGAGTTGCTATCAGAAGAGAAAGAAACGGAAACACATGGAAAGTTCCTAACTCGCCTTCCATAAATAGAATCAGACGACACTTCAACCGAACGCAACAGAAAAAACGAAGCGAACGCTCTCCGGCGGCGATGGCGGCGGCGACGAGCTCCGACAGCTGCTGCACGCGGTGCCTGAGCTTCCTGATAACGACGGGGATGGCGGCGCTCTTCATCTGGCTGAGTCTCCGCGTGGACGAGCCAAGGCTCTACCTCAAACAAATCTACGTTCCTTCCCTCAACAAAACCCTAAACCCTAAACCCCACAACAACACCGTCTTCTTCACGCTGCACCTCGTCAACAACAACAAGGACAAGGGCATCCAATACGACGACGTTCTCCTCTCCTTCGCGCGCTTCGCCTCTCCCAACGCCACGCGCCCACTCGGCAACGCCACCGTCGCCGGCTTCTACCAGGGCCACGGCAAGAAGGCCAAGAAGCGCGCCTCCCTCGCCGCCGCCGGGAACCTCACGGCGCCCGTCGACGGCAGGGTTTTCTACCGCGTGGATTTCACCACCGCGGTCAAGTACAAGATCCTCTTTTGGTACTCCAAACGGCACCGTTTGTGGGGAGGGGCCAATGTCGAGATCGACGCTCGCTCCGGGGAGAAGGTCCACCGGAAAGATGTCAGGCTCGGCGGGAAGTCGCCGCCGGTGATCCCGTCCGGCGCACCGGGGACCCCTCCTGGCTATCGTGCGCTGCCTTGCGTTGTTGCTCTTTTCTTGCTCGCTCAGTTGACTTGACTTGACGTTTACTTCACTATTGCTTCATTTAATTAGGTGCTGTTTTTATTATTTATTTTTTTATTTTTGGGTTTATTATTTTTTTTTTTTTAACAATGATTGGCGTGGGCATTGGTTTTTTTTTTTGTAATTTGTAATTTTGTACTGCTTCAAGTGAATGATGGGAAAAATTATTACTACCTCCTATACTTTCGACATATTTAAATATATAATTTAAATTAAGTAAAGTTTATTTTTAAGTGAAATCAATTAATACATCTCTACCAATGACAATTTCCTAAATTTCCATTATTTTATGGATCCACCACCGTCAACCAATCTAGTTATTTAGTATAGGACTCCAATATTTTTTGAAATGCAGTAATTGCTAACCGTACTTGTTCCACATTCTTGGCATTCTTCACCTACTAAATTAATTTCTCTTTACAAGGAATACGATAAGTCAATAACAAAGACAAAATAATTTCTCAAAAACTTGTCTAACCATTTTGTATCGAAATAATGGTATTACTAATCCGCCTTAAAAACGGGTCGGAACAGGTTAAAATAAATAAAAATTTTATAATAAGTGGGTATATTTTAACGATTTATTTTTATCTGATTCATCTAAGTTGAACCCGTGATAGGTTGTTGGACAGTTCATCGATCCATTTTTTCTTAAAATTGAATTTTGATTATGATTTACAGTTAATTATGTATAATGGGACATTGAAAGTTTTTATTTGGACTTTTATTATAATTTGAATTTAATTTTGTATGATGAGTTATGATTTATAACTATTAATGATACTTATTTTATGATTATTATGTTAATTTATAGTTAATTTGAAAATTTGAATTTTATTGATAATTTTTTTTTTAATTTTTTGGTGAGTTGATAGACTAGCATGTATAATCCACTAACTTGTTGTAAGCCGGGTCGGGCAAGAAAATTTTGAAAAAATTAAAAGTGATTCAGGTTAGATTAATCCGTTTTTGAAATAAGTTAAGGTGACAACTATATGAACCAGACTACTCATTTTGACAATTATACTAATTACTAGCATACTTATATCACTGGTACGAAAGAGAAAAGGATCATTTATTTAAAGAGAAACCAATAGTCAATAATTCATACGTTCGACTGTAGTTTTAACAAGAACAATATCTTTAAAAAAAACAATGTCGATGTTCTACCTTTTTGATATAATATTAATTAATTTTTTAATTTATCTTTTTATAAATTATTTAATAATTATAAAAAATAATATATTTATTGATAAAATAAGTTATTTTAATAACATTGTATTAAAAGTAATATATTTATTAATTTGTGTTAAAAAAAATTGTTATTATAGAACAAATGAAGTATAATATGAAGAAAAATAATTTAAACACGTATTCTTTATTTATTTATTTTTCTATCTTTCTAATAAAAGCATAGTAGAAAAATATATACTAGCATATGATTTATCAATAAGAATATATAAAGATGATAAAATAATTTTGTATATATATTTTTACTCTTTTTTATTTTAGTAACTGCACACTTCATCTTTTAGTGTAAAATAATTTAGTTATTTTATTTTATTATTTTAAATAAAAAAATATTATTTATCCAAAATATTTTTTATTTATCTATTATAGTTTTGTTACTTCTACACACATAATGTAATGATTCAATAGATAATTATATTTATTATAGTTCAACGACAAACAACAAAAGAGAATAATATACATCTTTCTAAGATTATTACATAACAAGTATTTAGATCTTATATACGCAGTCATATGTAAGGAAATAAAAACAACAATAATGTTCCTATACATATATACTACATACACAAGGGAGTAAATATTGTATACAAATTGGATCCTACATTACTAGTCAAACACCTATATACAACCTCTACATTAGAGTAAAAACCACTAAAATGACTCGCCACTAGCGTGACTCCCGACCAGTTATACAAGTTGTCTTACTAAATTTGTTCTACTTTCATGAAGAATCTTGATTATCGTAGTCTCAACCACATGAAAAATATTGGGTAAACTTGTAAAAAAAAATCAACATAAAAACACAATGTCAACATCCCTTACACAACTTAACAACATTTCATCATACAACTTCATATGTTTTTTAGTTACAACATGCACAACTTATAACATAACACAACAAAATCAACTTCATCATAGTAACATATTCAATATGAATAACCACAAACAACAGAATGCGTCATCATGTATATTAACAATAAAAATCTCTTACAACTGCAATTTAAGTGACAAGATCCTACCTAATCACAACAGTTGGTATAAACTAGAAATAATAACTAATATTATGGCTAGAAACAATGACTAACAAAAGCTAAAAATAACGACTAACATAAGTTGGATTTATTTTTCAGGTTTTGTCACTTAAATTACGAAGTCTATTACTATTGTCAAGGTATAATAACTTAGGTATGAGTCTATCACGACATTAGTTTGCAACACTAAGTCACATACAGGGATTAGCCCATCGACGTGGCAACAACCCATGCTCGACCTCACATTAACTCGAGACAATTTTCTCTTCTCACACCCTATGTCATTCAAGCCAAATCCAATGCTAATTCAATCCGAGACAATTCTCTCTCTTCATGCTTGATGTCACAAATCCTACATTCAACATGAGCAAGACAATGTGCCTTTGATTGAATCATAGTTGATGCGACATTAGTTCTATACTTATGTAGAACACAATTTAAGGTTATTCCACTTGCAATCTAGCAAAAATCCAACATGCAACAATACATTCAACATATACGTACCATAAACAACTCAAAACCAATGTCAATTATAACATAAACCACATATGTTCCAAAAATCATCAATCTCAACTCATGAACAACTTAAAGGAAAATGAAATCACCAAACAACTTTAATTAATATTTAACATCACTTAATTCATCATACCAACCAACATCAAGGAATTCAAACAACATATTATCAACATGAAATTGACGAAATCAACACAAGTTTTCATTACCTCTTAAAGAATCAAATCAATAAGAGGAAAATAGGAAGAAAATGAGTTTGTATGACTTCGACTCAAAATCTCCAACTCCTCAAGCTCAACTTTCAAGTTCAACAACTATGGATCAACTACAAAAAGGGAGAAGGTGAGAGTTTTCAAAAGAGATGGAAGAAGAAGAAGATTTGGTTCAAAGAATCTCTTTCTAACACCTCTCTAGGGTTTTTTGAAAACTTGAGTTATGAACTCACTTCTAAAGAAAATTCTCATATACTTTTTTCTGAATTGGTTCAACTTATCTCTAGTTTAATAGCCCAGAGACCAACTTAGCTTTTAAAGTCCTTTGACTCCTAAGATCTTAACAACACTTAGGGGGTGAGTATCTACCTCAAACTCGACCCAAAATTGAAAAAATCAAAAGAAAAAAGGTAAATGGGTGGATTCGAGCAGGTTATCGATTTAGGCGGGTTAAAAATACGATTTAAAATGAATAATTTTGATCAAAATTAGCTTGAGTTTTTGGATCCATTAGTACCTGAACCCAATTGTCCAAATACAATAAAGGCAAAAGTAATTATCATTTAGGTCCAAAAGTTAAACTTATTTTGGCTCATATTTAATCTTTATTATTAATGCACAAAAAATTTAGTTGAGGATGTAGTTTGTAACTTTTTTGTTTTTTAATATTATGTACCTAAAAAAAATTATTATAATATTTAAATTATTTGAAACTTGAATAATTTTATTCATTTTGACTCTAAACGAACTAAATCATATTTGAATGGTTGAATGTATAAAAGAGGATATAAGAATTGAAAAGAAAGTGATAACAAATTAGATAAAAGCTTTATTTCAACCAATTAAATGATTTAAAGTCCAATAAATCTTTACAGTAGAAAATCATCCGATAAAATTGAGACTTGCTTAAATCAAAACCTACCTAAACTAATAAGTTATTTGGTCGAGTCTAAATAATGCAAATCATGGATTATATCGACTCGGACAATATTGACCCGAAATTGATTATTGATCCACCCAGAACATTACTAACAACAATACAGATGAAATTAAAATACCATAAAATCAACAATGTTACACATAACATTCATACAATGTCTTTATTTTATTAATAACTATAATGATGATATATATTTTTTCAAAATTAAACATTTTTTCTTCTTCTAATTTTATCATTTTAAAATTAATCTACAAACTACTTACACCCTCTTATTTATGACTCACTAATTTATAATTTTCTTACAATTTTTAATTTTTATTTTCAAAACAAATTTCCCTAACTAGTTACTATTGATTGGGGTTGGAACACCTCAAAGGAAAGTGCATAGCATAGATGAAAAATGGCTTTTTGACCATAATGGGATTGTTTTAAAAACATTTTATGCAAATGGGGTTGCTTTGCAACTAATTACACCTTTGTGGCTGTTTACAACGGTGTCGCTATGGCCCATAGCGACACCTTTGACACGTGGCATTTTTTTTTGTTTAGGTTGGGCTGGAATGAGCCACATCAGTGTCGTTATAGGCTGGGTCAGCACACCTGATAGACTAACAAAGACAATGTAGCCCATAGCAACACTGTGTAAGAAAAAAATAAAAATAAAAAACAAAAATAATAGAAATGTAAAATAAAAATAATAAACTAAGTTATTTATTATATATTTATAAAAATAAAATTAAGTTTTTTAAAAATGTAATTTTAAATTAAATTATATGAATTTTTTAAAAGAGGCGCTATGGGCCATAGCGACTTAAACTAAATAATTTAAATTAAATATTTATATTTATATGTTAATTTTAAAAAACTGGGCAAAAAATAAGTAATTAAAAAAAAAGAAATAAAAAACAAAAATGGGTGTCGCTATGGGCAGCGACAAATTTTGTATATTTTTTTTTGCAAATATTTACATTTTATTTTAAAATTTTTGTTTTTATATTTTTAATTAAAACTACACAAATTAAAAAATTAAATTAAATTTATATATTTATATGTTAATTTAAAAAAAACTGGGGAAAAATAAGTAATTAGAATAAAAAGAAAAAAAATCCAAGCCTGTTTTTAATAAACTAGTATAAAAAAAAACACAAAAAAATAAAATTGAGGAAAGAAATATAAATAAAAAACGCACATACAAAAAAGTGAAGGGAAAAAATGTAGGAAAACAAAAAAAAAAATGAATTACAAAATAAATTTTAAAAAAACTTGTAAAATAAATCTGGAGAAAAAAATGACCCAATAACAAAAAAAATAAAATTTTGAAAAAAAAAACTGAGGCAGAAACAAATAAAAAACTTAAAAAAAAAGGCTGGTGTCGCTATGGGCCATAGCGACTTTAGGTAAAAGAAAACGAAAAACTAAAAAAAAAAAGGCTAGTGTCGCTATGGGCCATAGCGACATTGTGTCGCTATAGCCCATAGCGACATCAGCCTTTTTTTTCTCCACATTTATTGTACTAGTTTTTTTTTAAAGAAAATTATTTTGTAATTCATTTTTTTTGTGTTTTTTATTATTTTCATTTTTTTTACGTTTTTTTTAAATTATTTACTTAATTTATTTTTTCCAGATTTTAATTTATTTTATTAAGTTCTTATAATTTATATTTATATTTATCTTTTCTGTATTTATTTTATGTCATAAATGTCATTTATAATTTTAATTAATTACAAATACTAAACGTAAAAAAAATATAAATAAGTTATTATTTGATTTTTAAAATTAAATAAACAATTTTTGTGATATTTAAATTTTTTTTTAAAAAAAGACTTCTTGGCCCATAGCAACTTCAATTTAAAAAATTTAAAAAAAAATTGAAAAAAAGACTCCATGGCCCGTACCGACTTAAATTTTTTAAAAATTTCAGAAAATAATATACGTTATTTATGTGTTATTTATTTTATTTTATAAATGTTATTAATAATTTTAATTAATTACAAATACTAAACGTAAAAAATATAAATAAGTTATTATTTGATTTTTAAAATTAAATAAAAAATATTGTAATATTTAAAAAATTTTAAAAAAAAGGCTCCTTGGCCCATAGCGACTTCAATTTAAAAAATTAAAAAAATTTTAAAAAAAAGCTCCATGGCCCATAGCGACTTAAATTTTTTAAAAATTTTAGAAAATAATATACGTTATTTATGTGTTATTTATTTTATTTTATAAATGTTATTTATAATTTTAATTAATTACAAATACTAAACATAAAAAAATATAAATAAGTTATTATTTGATTTTTAAAATTAAATAAACAAATATTGTAATATTTAAAAAATTAAAAAAAAGGCTCCTTGGCTCATAGCGACTTCAATTTAAAAAATTAAAAAAAAATTTAAAAAAAAGCTCCATGACCCATAACGACTTTAATTTTTTTATAGTTTAATTATTATTTTTTAACAAAATTTATTTTTTATTTTTCTTATATTACGTTATTTTTATTCATTTTTTCTTCACATAATTTTTTATATTTTTAAATTTATATTAATATATTTTTTATATTATTTATATAAATGTGGTGTTATAGGCTATAGCGACTTTAGTTTTAGCCGGATTGAGTCGCTATAGACTATAGCGACTTCTTTTGAGACTCCAGCAGCTACAGCAACTCTACTAATATAACGTTCATGACTTATAATCAGACCCAAAATTGTCACGTGTCACTGGTGTCGCTATGGCTCCGTAGAAAACAATCAAAAAAAATGTAATATGTTTCAAAACAACTCTATTTTAGTAAATAATTTGTAAAAATGCTCTAAAATGGTCGACTAGTCATGAAAAATTTGTGCTACAACTTTACAAGGCCATTGAAATGGTTGCGTTGTTCCATTTTTCCATAGGAAAAAAATTGCGTGAAAGTTCGAAGTTGATCATAAATGCAAGTGCGTTACTCTTACTACGTTCGATGTCTCAGCACTAGGCTCTATTCACGTTCAGCCACCAAACGCGCCACTTCCAAATCCCAATCTTCTTCTTCAACCTCTTCATTCCTTTCGGGACTCGATGGGAATAACACGCTCTCAAGCCTCAAGCTTAAGCGAGCCTCTGATTCCGGTACTTCCATTAACCCTTACCTTTCTCACTGCGTACCGAAATCGTTTCTTCGTGTTTTAGAATCGGATTCCTAATGTTAATATTCTAACTTATTGCCGGGGATGCTACATTGTTGGGCAATTTGAGTGTAAAAGTCTCTTTTTTATTTATTGGATATTTTTGTGCAGGTGATTCGTCTCATGCGGTGGTTGACCATATTTCTTCAATTTTTCGCGGTAAGTGTTTGTTAAAATGTCTACGAGAATACACGCATATATATAGGAAGGGTGTCAGCTGAGGAATGAGAGCTTGAGAGGAGTGAGTGAATAACTGTGTAATTTGAATGAATGCTTTAACTTGTAATTTTTTACTTTTATTTACAATGCTTTTGCCGAATTGTTTGTTTGGATAGACTTCTCCAAAGCACTTGGTGAATAAAATAAGAAGGAAAGTCGAAATAAGTTTTTGCATAAGCTAAAACTACTTTATGCACAAGTTATAAAAAAGATTTTGGAGAAGTAGATATGAGAGAATTTTTGCGAATTGGAGAAATTCATTTCATTTTTCTTTTTCTTTTTCTCTCCTAGAAGTGTTTTTGAAGAAGGTTACCTAAACCAACCCTTATTCTTTTTTATTAGTGGAACCAAAATTCTCTTCTATAGTTTGCCATAAAATTATTTTCTTAGGATCACTTTCTTTTTTTTCATTCTTAGTGAACCGTGAACTACAACACCATCTCCTACGAATAAATTAGGTTTATTTTATGAGCTTGTTTTCTCTTTGTCTAAATAAAAGGTTAATTATATTGCTTTATTGTTATTGATTGCAGGTGGTAAGGCAGTCAAGAAACCTGTTTCTGAGGAAATTGATTGTGCAAAGGAGTTTGAACGAATGCCAAATCTATCATGGTTGTCAGGTGTATCCCAAAGCAAGATAATACTGCAACGGACAGATCAATCTCGTAACAAGAAGCAAAAATGTGTGTTTGACTTTAATCAAGAAAAACGTTTTCAGAAGTTAATTGAAGTCTGTGCAAAGATACTAGGACCAGAGGCTACCCTTGAGTTGTTTGGTAAAGTGGGACGAGAACCAGGTGTGAAAGGATACAATGCATTGGTAGAAATGTGTATAGATAAGGCAAGGGGAACTGATGATGAAGACATTGCAATAGAAGAACTGGGGAAGGTTTTTAACCTTTTTAAATCAATGAGGGAACAAGGTTTAGAGCTACAAGAGCAAACATATCGCCCACTTCTTTTGTATATGATTGACATGCATATGGTTGAGGAGTTTCAATTTTTCTGTATTGTTATCAAAGATGAGAATCCCAGTTCAGTTACAAGGCTGGGTTACTATGAAATGTTATTGTGGTTAAAAGTTGACAACGAAGAAAAGATTCGTGGTATTTGTAACTATATTGCAGAGAATGATGGTGAGGACATGTCTGATATACAAGGTAGGAGAATCTATTTTTTCCCACTTACATTATTTTGTGATAACATGTTTTGCTGAAGAAGATCTAGATTTGGATTTTAACTGTAACAGATGATGAAAAGTTCATCAGTGTTTTTGGATTACACAGAGACATAATTGATGTCTTCTATGACATTTTTTGGGATCATTTGAAGTGAAACTATTTATCCCATGCTGTTTGAACTGCAAGTGGCATGATCCATGTGGCTAATTGTATTTGACTGTTCAGACATGAATGCTTTATTGCTTTATGCTATCGTACTGCAATTAAAATGTTTTTCTAAATTCACACCTGTGCTCTATCAGAAACATGTTAAGAGAATATAATTTGTGCTAAATTATATTATATTTCAAGTACATTGCAGCTCACTATTAGAAGTTCCCTAACCAAGCATGCCTGTTTCAAAATCAGTGCAACTGCTATCTAATAAGGGAACATGACTATTAACACGATGCTGCTTATTTTGCACTTTGATGTCCAATAATAATAGAAAATCTTGTTTTCGTGTAGCACTTTAGAAACTTACTTTGTTCAATCCACTTGCAGAAAGTTATTTATTGGCTCTTTGTGAAAGTGAAAGGACAGAGGAGATTTTGAAGATGCTGGAAATCATAGGCATAAAAAACATTTCATCTGCTGAATCTGTAGCAAAGATATTTCAGGCATTAGGAAGATTGCTATTGGAACCTGTTGCGGAGAAGTTTCTTTTAGACTTCAAAACAAGTGGTAGTTGTGATATTTATCTTCTTTCACTGTGGATGTTGTACGTAAACATGGCACTGAGTTGCATTTGGAAAAGAAAAAGAATTTGCATGTGCTATATGAGCCTTTTTATCTATCAAATTCTGCTACTCTTATACTTTATACTCCCTCTATTCTCTATTATAAGAAAAAAAAAACACATTTTTTGTTTTTAAATATAAACAAATTTCAACTATTGTTGCCTCATTTAATAATATTTCCCCTAAGATATCCCTCCTTTAATACATAACATTCAGTTGCACTATTTCTTTTTGCATTTATTACAAGGACAAATTAGAAAGAATGTTATGAAATTAGTAAAATTTAATGTAGATAACTAATTTCATTAATATATGTAAAATCAGTCTTTTTTTTTTTGCTTATAATAGAAACAGGGAGAGTATGTATTAGTTTATCTAAATTATGACTGCATGGACCTTTTTTTCTTTTTGGCTAAATGTATGTAATTAAAGACTTTTTCTAACATTCTACCTATTTGTGTGTGTAGTAATACTATGATCTACAGAGGGATTAGGCATTGCATTCCTCTATAAATTTCTCCCTTTTATATATATTTACCGAGGTTTTCTCACATTTGCAGATCATGAAGCAGATAATATTACAAACTTCATTGCTAGTTATGCAGTTAGCATTCCAAATATACCGGTAAGAAATATCTCACAGATGGTGCTGATAATTGTGAAGTCATGATACTATTAAGCACTTCTGCTAAATGCAATTTGCTTCATCCTAGAGCTATGTCTCCATTTTCACATTTTTTTTTGTTACTTCAGACTTTAGTGTGATTGATGTAGTACAACAGCCAATTTGCACGTTTCTATTAGCATACTTTAGTGACAATTTCTTAATTCTGAATTAAAGTTGAACTAAACAGAGAGGCATTTGTAGGTTATCGTCTTCAATTTACCAATGTTAATTATCAGGTACAGATAGAATTGGTATGTCTTTAAAATGTAGTCCAGCTCTATCCAAAACAATTGTTGAAACTCATACATCTGTTGTGGCTAAAACTTAAAAGCCAATGAAGTCTTGCTTCATTGTGCTCGTGCACTAACAAGTGCATAGTTGCATATGAACATTTGACCACAGTCAAGAAATTTCAATAGCTGTTTTATTGCATACATGTTTGACATGATAATTGTCAATAGTACTTGTCTGTTATAGGGGAGAAAATCTTTGTGCACGTTTCTGTTGTTTCCTCACATCTATGGTGGTTATTCTTGAAGGTTGAGGATGTCATAAAAAAATTCAAAGATTTGCACCAAAGACTAGAAGTTTCACCTTCATCCTCATCATACGAGAAGCTCATTTTACATAGCTGTGAATTTCTGAAGGTACAACCTTTATTGCATTTTAATGATTACTAACTGACTGCCAGAACCTTCTCTATATGAAAAAAATAATAACACAGAAGAAAAAGGAAAATAAGAGAACTGTCCCATATAGAAATATGACAACATTGAAAGTGCACCCATAATTTCCTCTCCCTTTTTGGAAGAACAGAATTTGAACCATTGGCAAAACTAATGTATTTTTTATTTTTTGACCCACATATTTACTTTCTCTTAATTGTTAATTATGTATTCTTATTTAATAGAAAAAACATATATTCATGCATAAAAGTAATTTCTAAGTTCCTTTTTTGCCCCCATAATGACTTTGCTGGTTCTTTCCTCCGCCGTAACTGACATGATCCTTTACTTGTGGATAAAAAACTTGAATATCATATCCAATGCCCTGTGCCCCTGTACACTGATATCCACAAATCATTAGAAGGATTACTATTCATAAAAGTAATTCAAAATAAAAAGAGATATTGTCAAACATTTGCACTATGCCCAATAGATGCCTGACCTCCTTAGTCCTTATAATCATCATTTGAAAGCTGTGTGGTATGTCACTTTACATATCACCATACTTGAAGTTTTCACCTTTAAGCTGCCATGTACCATCATCTTTATACATGATGTTGATGTCTTTATGTAATTGCTGGAGAGGCTGGTCATTTGAAATTTACTAGACTGGAGAGTGATGTTTTAATATTTCTATGGTCAATGGGGAGGTTTCTGTAACGCTTCATCTTTAACAAGACCTTGTTACCTGCAACTGATGTATAAGCAAAGAAATGATCATAGCCCTGGGCACTTTCATCAACCCTGCCTCTCATAAGCTAAACTTGACTTGTCCTAAGTTTTAAAAACAGTGAATGGAATGCCCCTATGCCTAGCTTTCTTGTCAACTGAACAGCCATTTGGTTTCCTCTTCATAAGTTAACTTCAGACCACCTGCTATATAAACAACCTGAAACCATTATGCTCTCTGCTTGCATAAATTACTTCTTAGTTTGTGTTAAGTTTCAAATGCTCTCCTTCCACCAGCTACAAAGTATCTGTCATTCCACACCCTTCTCATGAATATTGTTTTCACTTTAGACTTTAGAGACACTAACCTATAAGATGATATTTCCTTAAGTAATCATTTACTAATCTTCACATTCTAGCACTGGGAAGTCACTGACACTTAGAAGAGCAAGATTGCTGAGGTGGATAGATGACAGGAGAAATATATGTTGTCAAGAGTTAGCAATGTTCTCCAATAGTCAATATATTATATACATTTTGGGAATTGCCAATTATTTAATTAAAAGCTTGGAGTTTGCATTTAACATGATTTTTTTTTTTTGGGTTTGTGATGCAGGTGCATGTAGCGCTTGAAATTGTTGATGAAATGTGTGAAGCAGGCTTGACTTTATCAGTTGATGTGTTACACTCGATATTACAAATTTGTGACAAAACAGCTGAATACAATTTGGTATGACCAATCTTCCATACAATCACTCCTTTGTTTCTTCATTGGTCATAACTTGGGTTGCTAATGTGTTCATATCTTCTCACCACATATAATTATAAACTTTGGTCTTTATGTCTAAGCTTATGAGCTTGAAGTAGTTACTGTTCGTGTTATGTCAATGATCTTTTTCTTAAATTTAAATAAAAGGAATGATTTTATATGTTATACACCCTCAAATGAAAGCCCTTTGACCCAGAAGAAATGAAGTATAGGCCCATCATTAACTTATGCTGAAATTTAATTTGAGATTAGTTAAAATCATGGCTTATTGGTCACAAATGTCACCATGTCGAGGGATCAATTAACATAAAAGTTTAAGATATTAGGTGAAGGTCCAAGAATACTTTTGTCTTTAACTAGCTAAAAGCTCAGTAACTATAAGGAAAGAAATATATGGTTGTTTCGGCAGCATTACTTGGTTTCCTATTTCATAAGTTTTATCTTTCTTGGCTGTAATTTTCTAATAGTGAGGTTGCTTAAAATTGATTGGTTCGTGTTTGGGATGACTTTTGTCTAAGATTCGAGCCTTTCTACTGAAACACCTGCCTTTACCTTTGGGAGAAAAATGACGTAATTTTTCGTGGGGACAAGACAAGCCTAGTCAATTAGGATTACATATTTATGTTTCCTTTCAGCATTTGCATGTTTTCAATTTTTCATTATACTGTGAACATAAAGGACAAGTAATACAGAAATAATTTTATTTAAACATTTTGTAAGAGTATATGCTGAAATGGGCTCTTTGCTACTTGTTTGAAGACTTCTGTGTCATCCAGCATAGTCTACTGTTCTGCTATGTAATGTTTGTTTTCTTCTTTGTATATTCTTAATAAAAGGTTCATCGAATCTTCTCTACCATACGTCGCTACAATTTGGAATCAAACAATGAAACATTCAGATCTATGATAGACTTGTTCTTGAAGATGAAAGATGTAAGTTGCACAGATTTCATTTACATGATTGTGTTCATCAGTCTTTCTACTAGTTTTGACTGCAGTAAACATCTATTATGATAGTATCATAGTAATTTGGTTAATCACTGTGAACATTATCCTTTCATCAAGCTTTTTTTTTTTTTTGGGTTTCATATGCAGATTGAAGGTGCATATAAGATGCTTGACGATTTGGAGGAATTAAATTTGAAGCCGACAGCAAAGATGTACAATGTCATAATAGCAGAATATTTTAGAGAGGTGTTGTTTCTGGTTACCAAGGATGCCTCTGTTTTTGCTGATATAGACTTTTAACTGTTTCTTCAACGAGATTGGATTGCTTTGCTAGAACCTAAAATATGATTTCTGGCAATTTTTGCTGGCTTTGGCAGAAAGATCAAATGGACTCTGTCTGTGTCTAGATGGCTCAAAAAAAATATAGCTTGGAAAATTTTCTCAAATCCACACAAGTTAAGCAAGTAGATAGATTTATTATTGTTAGATTTAGGTTTGAAGGGGCCTAAATTATGTTATAATACCAAAATAGCATGCTACTCATGCAATACATGGAATGAATTATGCAAATTTATAAGAATATAACTTTTTAGTTGTGTAAATTTTAAATTTAGTTTAATTAAAATAAGAACCAATTATCGAAATTTATTATCATTGTAGTTTAAATTAAAGATCATGATATGGACATATAGATGAATTCTTTAAATGACATCTAATAATTAGGAGGTAAAGCTTATTAGAAAGTCTTAAGGATAAAAAAATTAATATGTTGATGGATGTATGAATTTGTCTGCAATATTTTCTTCAGGATTTAATCTGACTATTTATTTTTCAATTGGTATTTGAGAAAAAGCATGTTTGCAACATAGTTAAACCATTCAATAGTCTTAAACCATTTTGTTGTTAAACGGACCCATGACCCAAAATCAATTGACTTGCAGTTAAAATAGCGAAGACACTTGAATCCATTGCAACCACATTTTTGCAATTTATTATTGATTTCTTTGATTTAATTTAATTTTTAATTTTTGGTTGCTAAATATGGGACTGCCTGAAATGGTGAGGGTCATTCTTAGTGGTCATATTTTTCTTTCACGGCTCTTTATTTAGTTATATGGATTACAGTGTGATGCAAATCCCTGAACAAGGTCACTCCTATACTTGTAGATAGTTTTATTGTCACGATGGTTATGTAACAAATATAAAATGTTTTGACCTTTTAAGATGTATTTAAATTGACAAGTCACCTACTTTAACAATGCATTCCTTTTCTCCCCCTTTTGCTCCAAATTTTGCAGGGAAACATTAGTGACGGGGTTAGGGTTCTTGAGCACATGCAATGTGCTGATATAAAGCCTAATTCACAGACTTTCAGCTACCTGATTAGAAACTCTAAAACTGAAGAGGATATAGTGAAGGTAAGTTGAGTTTAATAGCCTCATAATAGTTTCTTACATATCTATCTGAATCAAGTATAAACTCCTGTTTTGGCTATTTTGTGATCTTTAAACCAGTTTTTCATGTACATAGGTTTTTGTTATTTATGATATTATTCCTTCTCCTGTTAAGTCAGACTTCTTTGCAAAAATTAAGAGTTATATCGACCACAGTCTCATTTCAGAAGAACCAAATACTATTCAAGAGAAATTGTGTCTTGTATTGATCTTTTCTTTTGTGTTTCTGATTCATGTTTATAAGCGCTCCAAGTTAATTTTTCAATGTTATTATGTATGGTTCCAGTAAGCATACGATTGTTCCCTTTTTGTTTATTTATACTAATGTTGTGTTGCTGCACTTTAGTATTTTTGGGTTTATATAAATATAGTTTTGATAAACTGAAGTTTGTAACTAAGATAATGCTGTCCACAGATGTTTTGAAAGCTTACGATTTTGTTTCAACATTATGCTTGTAGTATTATGAAGAACTGAAGCAATCTGGAATAGTAGCTACAAAGCAAATTTTCATGGCACTTATATATGCTTATGCTGCTTGTGGACAGTTGGAGAAAGCAAAAAAGGTATTAGGGTTTGCTTTAAAAATCTTTCATGGGTGGTGACTAGTTTTCCGGGTTTTGGCTCTGCTGATTTATCCAACATTGATTTATCATATTGCAAGATGCACTCATTTTCTTTTAGAAAATTTTTAAGGTGCCAAATGCAGTTACAAGAAAGGATTTCCCAACCTCCTTTCTATGTTATTTTTGAGGGACTTGGATCCTTGTTAAATGACTAGTCTTACTACTTCATGCTTATTCTGAAATGACCAGCCTTCTGGGAGAGTGGATTCTTTACTTTTTTAATAAAAATTTCTCTGTTTTATGTCTTTCTCTGTCCAATGTGGCAATCTGACTAGCCCAATTCCAAACCTAAATTTACATATTCCTGGGTCATTATAATATCTTCTGGCTGATCTAAAGTGCCTTTTGTAATTTGAATTGCGGATATGAGCACTGCCGTGTTACAAAAATATAACATCAACCCTTGTTGTTACTAAAAGCAGATCATAATACTAATAAAATAAGGAAAGAAATCATGAAATATAAGAAAGTATCGAAACCAATCTTTATAGATATATGGAAAATAATCCTAAGAGGTAATGTAAGATACTGTAGTCTGTAGATTATTAAAAATTGCAACATAAATATTAATTGGATATTTTAATATATTCTAAGTTTCTAACAACTGTGAATACTTCACAGAGTATATTCCCATTTTCTGTTGTTCCTTGATGCTATGATTTCAGAGGTTTCTAGGATTATATAACAATAGTAGGTTTCTTATACCAGTCTTTTTGAAAATATATAATATACACTTAGACTAGAACCATCTATTATATGCTTAAAGCTCCGAGTAACCTTGAAGGCGATCTCATTAATCCTTAATATTACAGGTAATCTTAGATCCATTGATACCACCGAACAGCTTGAATCAAATCAAGGCTGTTCTTGTCTCGGTACTTGCATCACAGAGTCAATTGTCTGAGGCTCTTGTTATTTATGAAGAAATCAAGAAAGCTGGATACAAGCTGGAGGCAAAGGATGTTATGAGTCTCATTGTAAGGTTTTGAAAATATCAGTAATTTATATAGTTTTTAACTTACAAGCTTTCATAATCAAGCCATTGGACATTCATAGGAGCACACTCATTCCGATGGAGAGTTGGATAGGTTGCTTCTGCTACTTGAGGAATTGTATGACACAGACTATTGGAATGATGCTTGCTGCAGAATCATCTTGTATTGTATTTGGAATAAGCATTTAAGGTTTGTTTTTTTCACCTTCACTTTATTGAAATTCTATGCACTAAAAATATATTCTGCAGATTAGTTTATGTTAACTGTATTCTGTATCAGTTCTGCTGTTGAGTTGTGTAATCTGCTCAAGGATAAGTTGGAAAGTGATGAGCAAGTTATGGAAGTTCTCTTTGATAAGGTTGGTTCTAGCTTCCTTTTTACTTAATTTATATAATTCAAGGATTTAAGAAACATGGATGGCTTTGTTGAGTTATTGTTATAGTCTGTGCAAGTCTGAAACTCTTTCAAACACTTGAAATATAGTGGGTTGGGGATAATATTTCAGGGTTTTCCACCTTCATTTCGATGTTTGTTTTTTAGCCCAATCTTCTTGACAACATTTTTGTCTTTGTGTATAGGTGTTTTCTCTGATTGAAGAGTCCGAGTCCAGTCATTTGCACACTTGCCTCGAGTTGCTTTCGGAAATCAAGGATAAGCTTGGCCTTTTGCCTTCCCAGAAATGTGATGATTCTCTGCTACGTGCTTGTGCTAATGCTAATGCTAATGCCACTGATTTGCATAATACTGAATGAGGCAGATAAATATTCATTTCTGCCCCCAACAGTTTTAGAAACCCCTGACAATCTTTTTAATAAGGAAATAGGCAATGTGATATTTACTCTATGATCAATGTCTTCAAAATGAAACCCCGCAACACATTTGTTCGAAGTTCAAGTGACAGCATTAACGAAATAATAATGTAACAATTAATTAAACATAAAATAATATTAAATAAATTTATATCATAATCTTAGAACTATAAAAATTAAATTAGAACTTTATTTTATTAATTCTCAACATCTAAAGTACACGTATTAGTCTAAAATAAATATAATATGATATTTTAAATTTTATAAAATATAACAATGTCATTTAAAAATATCATGTTTACATTTGGAAAAAAAATGGCACATTAATATAATATAAATCGTAAAAATTCAAATTATGATAACTATAAATTAATATAAATGATTTTTAATATACGAAAAGTATGGGGAAAAAAGTTGACAAAATAACTTATTTTAATTTATAATTGTTATTTAATGTGTTTTTATTTGTTTTAAAAATACTTTAGATAAATGTTAAAACTTTTTAAGAAAATATTTTTTTTTGAATGGTACTTGTGCAAATAGGTTCTCATCGATTTATACTTATTCTAAAATGCTTTGATTTTTATTAGACAATTAGTTATCACCCAACCTAAATAATGGTTTATAGTCAAGTTAGTGAATTCAATTCATAATTGTTGGATAATCTTTTTATTTATAGGAAAGATTACAAAACATAGGAAGGATTAAGCCTAAATTATCTTGCTTCTGCTTCAATTCTATTTCTCAACCACTGGAAATTTTATTTTATTTAGCGCAATACACACACATATATATATATATATACTCTAATTAAAAATGGAAATCATTATTTTATTTTGATTATTAGTAGTGACAAATAAATCACCATTATCATCCTGTGTATAAGTGGAGATTTATTTTTGTCATTAATATGTATAAATATTACTTACTTACGATAAGTAAAAAATTAAATTTGTCGCAACATTTTCTTGTAATATTTTAAAATTTTTTAATAATAAATATTATCATAACAAAAAATAAATCTTTTGGAGTGACGCTTTTGTGATAACAGATATCCCTCTAATAACTGAATGTCACTCAAACCACTCGACAAACAAATAATTCGGGTTTGAAGTTCAATCCAAATGTGAATAATGCATTTATGTTCTCTTTTAGGTCAGTAGAGTCAGCATAGGATTCCAGAACCTCATAAGATACTACAGAACAGCCTAACAAAACCAAAACAACTATTAGATAGGGAAAAATATGTCCCAGTATGAGTGGAATATTGACTCAAGCACATTCAGAAAATGTCCCTTCTCATTTTTGACATCTGTAAACATTTTTCTTTCTTCTTTTTCATTAATCAGAATTTGATGTAATCTCTGAGCTAAAAGAATGTGATGATTAATAAAATGTCAACGGAAGCACAATTGAACAAAACATTCAGCAGTACTACTTTCAAGTTCTTTACATTGCATCACCAATGTCACAAAAATCCCATGAAACATATGAAGAGAAATACGGATAAGTTTAAAGATACATTTACTCGTTAAATATATTAAAAAAACATAAAATTTGATGAATCTCACGTAATTTTTAATGATACTATCTCTTGATTTTATAATTTTCAATAAATTGTAACCAATAAAAATAACTGTTTTAAGAGAAATATATTAGAGAGTGTTGCATTTTTTAAGAGATGAATTCAAAAGGAATAAGCAACAAGTATGGCTTGCCTGCACCTAGCCTTGGCCTGTTCAAGCCTCTCTCCCAAAGTCTCTTCCTTAACAGCAGCCTTCACCATGGCTAAATCCATCTCCATGAGCTTCAACACTCTAAAGAGTTCAGTCACCATTCTCCCTCCACTTTGCCTTCATCTCTGAGAACCTCAGCCTCCTCTCTTGCCCTCTCAGCCACAATCTCTCCCACCTTTGCCAGAAGCTCTGTGGAACCATACTCCTTCCCCATGAGGGTCTCCAGCTTCTCAAGAAAATCAGCTATGACATGCCCTATTGGCCTCTCTAAGTTGATCTCTTTGGTCCTCTTCCACCCTATCTCAAAGTTTGGTGGCTCTGGCTGTGCAAGCTCTTTGCTCTCTCTTCTCTCTCTCACTATCTCTGATCTCCTTCTCTTCTCAATGGGGAAAGACTCTGGACTGTTCACTGTGCTGAAGGAAGGATCTGGGGTGGGAAAAATCTGCCTCTGGAGTGGAGGATGTGCATCTCAGGGAAAATAAAAACTGCTTCTTCTGAATGGAAAACTGTGGATATGTGTGCAGATGAAGAATAGGAGGGTGTGAAAATGAGAACACTGTAAAAGCCATGCAGTAAAGTGAAGATAAGAGTCTTCTATTATTTGGACCATGGTTGGTTTGGTGTGTATACATGCATCGTCAAAAATATCTAGTGAGGAAGAACTCATGTTGTTATTATATATGTTCAAGGTAGAATCCTCGAGACAAAATGCTTGGAATTTACACGTAAGTTGTGTCATAATGCTAAGATGTTCCACACAAGTTTTATTGACGGAGGAGTGTAAATTTACTGGAAATTATTATATAGTTCAAAATTATTATTTTGTCTCTGATTTTACAAGACAATCTTTTTTATTTTATTATTATTATTATTTTTATTTATTTATATATATATAGAAAAGTTTAGATGAAATAGATTCGAGAGAGCATTGATCTGGTAACATCCGACATTTCAAAAATAGTGAATAAATCCTTCGATTTTATTAAGTTTTCCGTCATAAAATCATTTAATATTTTTTGCACCTATAACACATTAAAAAATTGACAAATTAAGAATGGTAAACATATTATTACTTAAATAATTATTTTTTTTCCTTTAATTATCATGTATGTAATTAAAACAATTAAAAAACAAATTTCATGTAATTATATATACCAAAAAAATTATAATGTACCAAAAAATGTCAATTTTATATTCTATTTGATTACATTAAAAAAAATAAAAAAATCGTAGGGAGACCCTATTAGTAGGATAAAATCATTTAATATCTCGGTACCCTATAATGCATTAAAAAAAATGACAAAGAATGTTAAGCATGTTTTTATTTTTGTTAAGCACCAAAACGGAATTAAAAGTGTTGTATAGAGAATAAAATAGACACTTATTAAATATACGAACTAATAGATAAAATTTATACAATTATGAAGACTAAATACATAATTAAACTACTTATATATTTATAATAATCGATATATATGGGATAAGTTCTATTGATATTATATTTTAAAGTTAGTAAAATTATATATTTAATAATTTTTTTGTATAACATATTTTTTCTAAACCAATCGTTAAAATTATATGATATTATATTAATGATTATTTATATTAAATTTTATATGATATTGACTTTTCTAATAATGAATATTTACATATTATATTTTAAATAAAGTGGTGTGACAGTTTACTAAATAATTTTAAAAACATGTAATAATTGATATATATGATCATAAGTATAATATCACACAATTTAAATTATATTTTTATCTTTTATCTTATTTTTAATATTTATTTTAGTCTTTAATTTTTTTTAAAAAAATTGATCTTTCATTTTTTTAATTTGGGTCAATTTTATCATATTCTAAAACAATATTCCATTTCGATTTCATGACACAATTTTGAATCTTTCTTAACTTATTCAAGATTAAAAACTTATACCTTACTAAATTCACTTAAAAAAACTATCGAACCTAGCTAATATACAAACAGTAGTCATAAATATAATGAAAATCATATAAAATAAGTCTAATGAAAAATCTAATAATTAAGAAATCTAATATCATATAGTTTTCTAATTGTGTTTTAATGCTTTTGATGGGTTTGTTAAATTGAAAAGAGACAAAAAATTGAGAAGCAACGTTTCCATTAGAATCCATCTTAATGAAGGCATGTTTAACAATTGGAGGTTTACACTTAGTATTTAGGGTTTAGGACAAGTTGGATCCAAAGGTCTCACATTTGATAGGACCAATCATACTTGTTGTCGGATTAGCAAGTGTACTAAATTACATGTATTTCAAAATAAGATTATTTCTCAAAGAACTTGTGCAATATATGACCATTATAACTTAACACACTATACTATAATTCAAAAAAATGAAAATATAGCTTGTTTGAAGTTGGTTTTAATTAAATAAACTTAAACATAATATAGTAAAGCGTTAGAAATAAAACTTGTCTTTTAGAATTTTTATCAAACACTTAGCAATAATAATATGAGATATCAAACATAGATAATCATTGAGATTGAATTTCACTAGTTCATCATCATGTATTAGTTTGTAAAAGATTTTCCTCTATATTTTATCTCATTCATTATCATTACCATAGAAAATCTTTAAACCATGATCTTTTAGAAGTTTAGAACCATATATTTCACTCAAATCACCAATTCTTTGGTTAAAGTGGTTTAAATACAATTAATATAAAAGGTAATTAATAAATGACCATTGAAACTCATGTTCATTCCTAAACATAACTTTCAATGGTGTTTTAACTCATATATATCTTAAGAGACAGTTTTCAACAACAACCCAAGCTAATAAATCAACTCAAGATGAAATAAATCAAGAAAATATTAAGAGAAGAGTAAAACACTAATAGATGAATGAAACAAATTAATGAAGCAAATGTTAATATATGAGGTTTGACTAGTTACATCTAATTTTAATGAGAGAGAGTTTAGTTATAGATACTTTTTGGAACTACACAAAATGGTGAAGAAATGATGAAGATGGTGAAATGGAACTCCAAGAGTCTTCAAGAGTGTATTATCTAACAAAATTGCTAAGATTTGCACACTTATAGTTAAGTAAATCATACAATTATCGATACTCAACACAATTACAAAAGGATAAGAACTATAACTCTATAAGGTTATGTGTTTAGCGACACAATGACTTGCTTATTAGACTTTGTTCTTATGCGCTTAACGCAACCAAGTGCATGCTCGATGTTGAAACCCAAAACACTACACTTAGAACCTTTCATTGTTTGCACACAACACCACTTCATGACACTTGGCACATGACGAAAAACAACGAATTTTGAACCTAGACCTATAACTTGAAGTGTGCCATCCCACGACTTCTCATATGTCCAAAACACATTCCATGTCTCAAAATTGTTCATTTTATATTCTTAAACCTTAAATTTACTATAGACACCACTTTAACATCTTCAATTACTAGAATCTCTTGCAAAATTAATATCTATGAATAATAATATGAAAATATAAAGTAGAAGAAAAGAACAATCAACCATGACAGAGTAAGGACTAAGGAATAAGATAAGACAAGGAAAATGCACCAACCGGAAATACTTTAGGGTTCCTCTTCTCTCCTCCTTTGTACTTTCTCTTCTTCTCTCTTTATTTCTTCATGCTCAAATCATACATGTGCATATGTTTATATAACTTTAGTCATTTTTGTGCTTTTACAATCTATGTGAGGCTTAATGTCATGATAATACTCTTGTTGAATAAGGTCTAAATGAAAAATACATCATTATGTATTAATCTTATGTGTCATCAAAATCTTGTAAAATTTTAGCCATTGATTAATCGTTACACAATGACTATAAAAATGTAATGAATGATTTAGATTTTAGTCAACAGATACAGTTTCAATTGAAAATTTATAATATTGACTGAATGTGATTCAGTTATATTTGTAGTCATAAAATGACTTATTATTTTAATTTTAATAAAAAAATTAAGGTCCGAATTTTATAACACTTGTCGGATTGAGTCAAGTCGAGTCGGGTAAACTCAAAAAATAACCTATTTATTTAAAAAAAAATTAGGAAATTAGAAAATTATAGACTTTCTCTCTCATCCTTCTTTGTGTGAAACCCTAGGAGAGAGAGCGTAATGAAGTTTTATCTGAAACCCTAAGATGGTGGCTGAAGGAAAATCATTTGGTTTGGGGTGTGACCCAGTAGTGGGATCGTTGAATCCTGTGAAGAAGAGGGAATACAGAGTCACCAATCGCCTCCAAGAGGGAAGGCGCCCTCTATACGCCGTCGTTTTCAACTTCATTGACTCCCGCTACCTCAACGTTTTCGCCACTGTTGGTGGCAACAGGGTACACTCTCTCTCTTTCTCCACAACCCCTTTTTCTTTTCATTCCCAAAGTTTCAACCTTTAATGATTTTTTTTTGTCTTCTTAATTCCTTAGATCACTGTTTATCAATGTCTTGACGGAGGAGTTATTGCTGTTTTGCAATCTTATGTGGACGAAGATGTGGGTCAACAGTAACACTTCACTCTCTTCTCTCTAACTATTTTTGTTATTAGGGTTTAATTTCTATGGGTGTGTGCATAGAAAAGTGCTTCAATTGTTAGATGTTTTTATGTAGACCAGAAGGATGAGTCTTTCTACACAGTGTGTTGGGCATGCAATGTTGATGGGTCACCATTTGTTCTGGCTGGAGGAATCAATGGGGTGATCCGAGTCATTGATGCTGGCAGTGAGAAGATATACAAGGTATTTTGGTTACAGTATTGAACTAGTGATAGTCTACTTGAAGCATGAGTTTGATGATTATATGCTTCTGTATTTGGAGGCATTTATAAGAGTTTAGTTGGGTTTATTTTATGACATAGCATGCAGGCCGGGTTTTGATTAAGTGAAGCTCTTTTTACTTATTTCAATAAGTTTGATGGTGAACCATATCACAAAAGCTCGTTGTTGTAGTTGGAGAGCTCAAGACCTTATAAACCCCACACTAGCATCTCACATTTCCAATGTTGGACTCGAGTCACATACCTTGTAATTGGATCCTAACATTTTCCCACAAGTGCCCTTAGTCTAGAGTTTTGTGGGAATTACTGCAAGTTAAATGTCTTTAATAATTATTTTTATTGAATAATAATGAAAATGTGTTGGTTGTGGGCTAATTCATGCTGCAATGTGACATGATGCTCTTTTCTTTGCAGAGTTTTGTTGGCCATGGGGACTCCATAAATGAAATTAGGACTCAATCATTGAAGCCATCACTTGTGATATCTGCAAGCAAAGTAAATGACTTCTCCATATTTTCACTATTTAAAAAAATCCCTGGTTTTTCATTCAATGACACCTAAGGTTGACCAGGATGAATCTATTCGGTTATGGAATGCTCATACTGGAATATGCATTTTGATATTTGCTGGAGCTGGAGGACATCGTAATGAAGTCTTAAGTGTTGTAAGTGTATTGTTCATCTAATGCATCTTTATGTTTTCTTGCTTAATTAATTATTCTTAGTGATAATATCAAATATTTGGATTTTGGAGATTAGCCCAAGTAACTTTCTGTTGCTTACTATAGGATTTCCATCCATCGGATATATATCGCATTGCTAGCTGTGGCATGGATAATACTGTGAAAATATGGTCTATGAAGGGTAAGATATTTAGAATCATGTTTGCTGCAATGCTGCTATCTGAATATGATTTATTTTACTGTTGATGTATTTTTTCTAACGCTATCCAATATTCCAGTTAGAATGATATCACATCCCCCAACAAAAGAAAATGACTGAAAAACCAACTTACAAAGATAATAGCAGGAACATTAATGTAACTGTCGGTACTAGGTTTGGTAATAATGTGCCAGTCTGAAACATAGTTATTTCATCAATTATAATGTAAATGAAAAGATCAAGAAAAAAAGCCTTTTCCTACTAACCACTAGATGGGGTTGGCTACGTGGATCAAATGACAGCATTGTGTCAATTTTTTTCGGAAAGGATATTAACAGTTTGGTCTTCCTTCATCTCTGTTTATCCATCTATCCTATCTTACATATAATCTACTCTTCTTAATATAAGTTGTTTTTGGTATGTTTGACATTTGTTTCATGATTAACATGGAAGCTGCAAGTAACAATTACTTCTGTAATTTCTTGTGTCGGTCAATTAAAATGTGCATGAACCAAAATATACACTATTTATGCTTGTGAATCTTTTTTAGCATATCAATTGCATTCTTGTTCTTTTTCATTTTTATCCACCATGACCCTTATGATGTTACTGCAGAGTTCTGGTCATATGTAGAAAAATCATTCACATGGACAGATCTTCCTTCCAAGTTCCCCACAAAATATGTCCAATTTCCTGTAAGTAACAGTTTATTACTTTATTTTGGTACATATCATTGATCTTTTCTAATTTCTAATTCTAGCAATACTTAATTTCAGGTATACAATGCTTCAGTTCATATTAATTATGTTGACTGTAATAGGTGGCTGGGTGATTTTATCCTCTCAAAGGTGAGTGGTTTCTCAGAACCAGTCTACTAGGTGGAAATTTAACGTTAGGTTTGTTCTGAGGGAAAAAAATGTTCCCTAGCTATGGCAAATACAAACAATAGAATTGAATTAGAAAAAGGATTTTTTTTAAAACAAAGATAACTGTATTTCTAAAAAGGAGCTCCTTCTTTCGGAAAATGGTTTTCCAATTTAAATCATACTGGTTTTGAGTTTGGAAAAGCTACGCTCCAATGTTATCAGCTTGGTGGATCTGTTTTAAAATCAATAGCTTCTAATACTATTTCATTTAAATAGTAAATTAATTATTGAAAATTTTTATGCTATTACTATGGTGCTCAGACTTTCTTTGGTAGACAAGCAAAAGTAGCTTTTCCTTGTAACTCAGTTCAAGTGGGAAATCATATTTAATGAAGCTTCTACGTAAAAAAATAGTTAAATAATTGGGAGATAAAAGTTTTAAAGGTTTTTAGGCAAGTCCTCAATTTTGAAAACTTGACTATGAATCATAAGTATAGTATTTTTATTTTAAATTTTAATTGTCTGATTCATAAAGTTACATACCAATTCCTTAAGTAAATGAATTATGTTACGATTCCAGAGTGTTGACAATGAAATTATCTTGTGGGAACCTAAACTGAAGGAACAAACACCAGGGGAGGTTAGTTGTTGTTATTGTTGTTGTTGTTATTATTATTATTATTATTATTATTTATTTTTAATGTGTTAATTTTAATCAGCTTTTATGTGTGGATATGTTTAGGGTGTAGTTGACGTCCTGCAGAAATACCCTATTCCCGAGTGTGATATCTGGTTCATCAAATTTTCTTGTGATTTCCATTACAACGTAGCTGCAGTAGGTAAGAATATCTAATTGCAATTTTTTTGCATTTATTATTTTCTCTAGTATGTGCAGCTTCATCCCTACAGTGACAGGACTATGTATTACACAATTTGTGTTCATTACAGATTTCTGACAATTTGGACTAGTTACTTTGCTGGCAAGTTTGTAATTTCAAGACTTCAGTTTAATATTATATTCACTTTTTTTTTAAAATTTTTGGGTCTGGCAGGTAACAGGGAAGGGAAGATTTTTGTTTGGGAATTGCAGGCAACTCCTCCTGTACTTAATGCAAGGTTTGTTTTTCACATGATTATTTCAATGCTTTTTTTGTATCTTTATTTTATGAAATTCCTATGCTGAGTCACATTGTGCAGGTTGATACATCCTCAATCAAAATCTCCAATCAGGCAGACTGCTACATCCTTTGATGGAAAGTAATTCTAATTCATCTTTATATTGATTTTGCTGCTTTTAATATTGATGCAATATTGTTTTTGTTTTTAAACTGTGGTCCTTTTGTTTTGTTATGTTGTAGCACTATTCTGAGTTGCTGTGAGGATGGGACAATATGGCGCTGGGATTTAGTTACAAGCTCCTAAATCTAACTTACCTCCGTGCAATACCAATCTGATGTCGTGTCAAACAAGAGGGCATTTTTGGTTTATCACTTTATAATCAGTCATGTACACTACATCAGGAACCTGGTTTATTGCATGTTTTTGGATTTTGGTTATGTAACTTATGATGAAAAAGGGTAAACTGAGAACCTGTAGTTATCGGTTATGTAAAAAAAAATAATAAGAGAAAAGCCATTCCATGCTTGTGTTGCATGTGAGGATGAAAGGGCTAAAGAGCTGCTTCGTCCAAAAACTGGATCAAATCAGCAATTTAAACAATTTAGAGAACTGAGAATCCGCATAATTCAGGTTCAGTATTGTTTTTCTTCTTTTTCTAATTATTATATTATTTAACCAAAGATACTTTTTGAATTAAGCATGGCAATTCTTTAATTTATAATTAAAATTATATATCAGTTTAGTATAATATTTTGCCCCATCATTGTAGGAAAATATTTTGAAAATCTAGATTTTTCCCTCTTGCACATATTAAACTGCCGAACATCACGAGGACCTTAATCGAAATTCAAACTATTGTTACCATGCAAGACAATTTTTAAATTCAAAATATTAGAGCTGTATCTTTGGTTCGGTTAAACTGTGATCATAGTCAAAATTTTTATCGGATCAGTTTTAGTATATTCTTTAACATTGGTTACGCGCGGTCAACGCTGCTAAATTTTTTCTACCCTTTATTCTAAACAAAAGTCACCTTAGTTATGACTTCTCTTTCAGAATTTAATTACATCGTAGGAAAGTGTTTACAAAATCTGGTTCCCTCTTCCCGGTTTTTTTTGGTACAAAGAAATTAATAAACTTTAAAATTTAAACTAAGGACTATAAAAGAAAATAAAAGAATGAGGTTTTGTGTAATGAAAAATAATTGAATGCATTAGAAAATTTGGCAACATACCTAGTTGGCTGAGTTGATCTATTACAGACTGGTCAACAGAACTTTCGAACTTGAGCAATCGTATAATTCCAGCAGTTATCCGACCAACCGAGTCAATTTCAGATTTGCACAGAAAAGTGAGGTGCTGAACCTCTTCCTTGGTTACTACTGCCTCAATCTGCAGGAAGAAATCATCATCATACACTACCTTCATAAAGGCTTTTTGGTCATAAATATGAAATTCTCATTACCTGTTGTTTAACAGAGAATTTTAGGCTTTCCACTTCCCAATTTGCCATTTCATCATCGACATTCTCCATGAGGCCCAAGTATTCCAAATCTATGCAGGAGGGCTTCAGCATAGTTCATTCAAACTATGAGACTCCAAGTCTTGTTCATATAATGGTATTACATGCACAATGCTTATGTCCAGAAAAGGGACTGAATGAGCATTTCCCTTCAATAGATGTTTCTCATTCTTATGCACTCAGAAAGCAGCTATTAGTTGAGGATATCCATTATCACACAGTGAGGGAACATTTTTCTTAGAACTCAAGAATGAGCCATTTTCACACGGCAAGTGTCTCTCAGCATCTACATAACCTAGCTCAACATTGCCAATGTAAAATAGATGAAACAATAATAGCCCAACCAAGGGTTCTGTGAGTGGCATTAGTAAACAGATCAAACTGCACTAAAGGAGTTCCCACAGATGACTCAAGAAATAGAAGTTGGAGGTTTTTCACCGATTAACTCACAGCAGCATCACGAGGAACTTTGTCCAATTGTTTCCTTTTTCCAGCCATTGGTATTTTTTCACTAAGTCTCCCAAAATAACCATATAGATCCAGGACAAAAAACAATTGTTCAACAGAAGTGTTGGACAGATACTGTTCGCAAGCAACTCCAACCCTGACAATTACCCCAGGAGGGGGAACTTGTAACATATGGGTATGAAGTTCAATCCAATTGTGAATAATGCATTTATGTTCTCTTTTATGGTATTTTTTTGATGGAATATTTTATGAGAGTTATTTTTATAAGGTTATTATACAAACATACTTCACAATGATGAGATATTATCCACTTTGGACCTTAGCCTTCACAGGTTATGAGTTATGAGGGGTTATGAGACTTGTTACCTCATCCAATCTGTTGGGGTTATTTTAAGGTATTTGTTTGAGAGAATATTTTATGAGAATTATTTTTATAAGGTTATTACACAAACATATTTTACAATGATGAGATATTATCCGCTTTGGGCTTAAGCCCTCACAGTTTTGCTTTTGGTCATCACCCAAAAGGCCTCTCTATCATTGAAGTATGTTTGTGCTATATAAGTTGTTATTTCTTGTCTTATTTTATCGATGTGAGACTTGTTTGTATCCTAACAAATATTGCTCAAGCACATTCAGAAAATTTTCCTTTTCATTTTTGACATCTGTAAATATTTTTCTTTCTTCTTTTTTATTAATCAGAATTTGATGTAATCTCTGAGATAAAAGAATGTGGTTATAACAAAATGTCAATGGGAGCACAATTGAACTAAACATTCGGCAGTACTACTTTCAAGTTGTTTACATTGGATCATCAATACCAGAAAATTCCTATGAAACAGTTGAATTCAAAAGGAATAAGCACAGTCTCACAAAATCAAAACCAAAGTGAAACCCATGTCCAAGTGTGAGGAAGGGATGAAAACCTGCTAATCTTATTCATAAGTTCATAGTTTAAACTAATATCATGAATATGATGAGCATTGCTCTCTATCACGGTCAAGTGAGATCTCTAACGTTGAACTTCTCAAAAGTGCTCAACAATATCAATTCACCACTTGCCTGTAAACATTTTTACTTTTTTTCTTATTAATCAGAATTTGATGTCATCTCTCAGTAAAAGAAGGTAATGATTATAAAATGTCAGATGAGGGATACAATTGAGCAAATTAGTGCTAACCAACACTCTCTAACACATTTTTATTGGTTAAAATTTGTTAAAAATCACAAAATCATGTGAAAGAATGATTAAATTGAATGTAAAACATACCAAATTTTGTATTTTCCAATATATTTCCATGAGTGTCAAAAGAAAGTGTTTAAAATAGTGACAAAAGGTGTATTGGTATCATTTCTCACTGAACAAAACATTCATCAGTACTACTTTCAAGTTGTTTACATTGTATCACCAAAGTGACAAAATTCCCATGAAACAGTTGAATTCAAAAGGAATAAGCAACAAGTATGGCTTGCCTGCCCCTAGCCTTGGCCTGTTCAAGCCTCTCTCCCAAAGTCTCTTCCTTGACAGCAGCCTTCACCATGGCCAAATCCATCTCCATGAGCTTCAACACTCTAAAGAGTTCAGTCACCATTCTCTCCTCCACTTTGCCTTCATCTCTGAGAACCTCAGCCTCCTCTCTTGCCCTCTCAGCCACAATCTCTCCCACCTTTGCCAGAAGCTCTGTGGAACCATACTCCTTCCCCATGAGGGTCTCCAGCTTCTCAAGAAAATCAGCTATGACATGCCCTATTGGCCTCTCTAAGTTGATCTCTTTGGTCCTCTTCCACCCTATCTCAAAGTTTGGTGGCTCTGGCTGTGCAAGCTCTTTGCTCCCTCTTCTCTCTCTCACTATCTCTGATCTCCTTCTCTTCTCAATGGGGAAAGACTCTGGACTGTTCACTGTGCTGAAGGAAGGATCTGGGGTGGGAAAATCTGCCTCCGGAGTGGAGGATGTGCATCTCAGGGAAAACAAAAACTGCTTCTTCTGAATGGAAAACTGTGGATATGTGTGGAGATTAAGAGGAGGAGGGTGTGAGAACACTGTGGAAGCCATGCAGTAAAGTGAAGATAAGGGTCTTCTATTATTTATTATTTGGTGTGTGTATATGCATTGCTATCGGTTCTCAGATAATACAATTAAAAATATCTAGAAATATGGATGAAAACACCGTGAACAAAGATTTTCAACCGTAAGATTAATCTTAATTAAAAGATTTTATCTACATGAGGCCACACGAGAGTACGTTGAATGGGACCCATGTTCCAGTGGACAATTTATTCGAGCTTGGCTTTTCAAAACAACTCTAGTTTTGGATTTTGTTTTATTTTTTTCTAGCCCCTCTCTTTTCATTTTGCAATACCTTTTCAAAACAGATGGTGCTGATAATTGTGAGGTGATGATACTATCAAGCACTTCTGCTTTATGCGATTTGCTTCATCCTAGTGCTATGTCTCCATTCACAATTTTTTTATGTTACTTCAGACTTTAGTGTGATTGATGTAGTACAACAGCCAGTTTGCATGTTTCTATTAGCATACTTTAGTGACAATTTCTTAATTCTGAATTAAAGTTGAATTAAACAGAGAGGCATTTGTAGGTTATCGTCTACAGTGCACTAAGGTTAATTATCAGGTACAGATAGAGTTGGTATGTCTTTAAAATGTAGTCCAGTTCTATCCAAAACAATTGTTGAAACTCATACCTCTGTTGTGGCTAAAACTTAAAAGCCAATGCAGTCTTGCTTCATTGTGCTCGTGTGCCAACAAGTGCATAGTTGCATATGACATTGCATTCATTTTTGACATGATAATTGTCAATAGTACTTGTCTGTTGTGGGGGGCTGGTATTTATCTGCTATATAAACAACCTGAAACCATTATGATCTCTGCTTGCAGAAATTACTTCTTAGTTTGCGTTAAAGTTTCGAATGCTCTCCTTACAATTTGGACTAGTTACTTTGCTGGCAAGTTTGTAATAATTTCAAGACTACAGTTTAATATTATATTCATTTTTTTTTTATTTTAATTTTCTGGGTCTGGCAGGTAACAGGGAAGGGAAGATTTTTGTTTGGGAATTGCAGGCAACTCCTCCTGTACTTAATGCAAGGTTTGTTTTTCACATGATTATTTCAATGCTTTTTTTTTTTTTTAATCTTTATTTTATGAAATTCCTATGCTGAGTTACGATGTTCAGGTTGATAAATCCTCAATCAAAATCTCCAATCAGGCAGACTGCTACATCCTTTGACGGAAAGTAATTCTAATTCATCTTTATATTGATTTTGCTGCTTTTAATATTGATGCAATATTGTTTTCGTTTTTAAACTGTGGTCCTTTTGTTTTGTTATGTTTTAGCACTATTTTGAGTTGCTGTGAGGATGGGACAATATGGCGCTGGGATTTAATTACAAGCTCCTAACTCTAACTTGTCTCCGTGCAATATCAATCTGATGTGCGTCTCAAACAAGAGGGCATTTTTGGTTTATCACTTTATAATCAGTCATGTACACACATCAGGAACCTGGTTTATTGCATGTTTTTGGATTTTGGTTATGTAACTTATGATGAAAAAGGTTAAACTGAGGACTTGTAGTTATAGGTTATGTAAAAAAAAAAGATAAGAGAAAAGCCATTATATGCTTGTGTCGCAAGTGAGGATGAAAGGGCTAAATTAACTGGTTCGTCCAAAAATGGGTCAAGTCAGCAATTTAAACAATTTAGAGAACTGAGAATCCGCATAATTCAGGTTCAATATTGTTTACAAAATCTGAATCCCTCTACCCGACTTATTTTGTACAATGAAATTAATAAACCTTAAAATTTAAACTTAGGACTATCTACAAATTAATCAAAGCTCTTAACATCAGAACTCGATTGCATTTTTTGCTGAAGGAAACAAAATTTTGTTACACCAATGTGGAGCCATGGTGGCTGCCTAGCTTGTACAACACTCAACAACGATCTGTATCCTATATACACAAAATATTGTAACCTATGTGAACGAAAATCTTTTGACTATAAATATACAGCAAAAATGGAAGAGGACCTTAAAGTTGATTCCGTAATTGCATCAACAAGTCCTGCATAGTATCAATCTTTTGACTCAGTTGGACGATGTTAACGTGTTGAGAGGAAGTCTGTGAAGTACCAATATCACTGACTAAATCATTAAGTGTAGCCTGTGAATCCACAAGTGCTTCCTCAAGCAAAGTTAATGTTTGTTCCGAAGTTCTGTGTGATTCCTCATTGATGAGATTTGGCAATGGAGAAAGTCCTCTGCTACCAACACTACCATCTCTACTAACCTTTTCAGGAGAGAAAATCTTGTCAATGCCTTCACTTCCTGCACATCATCATACCATTATTAGAAGATTATGAAAAAAGGAATAACTAAGGCTCTGTTTTGTATAGCTCCATTAACATTAGTTCTTTGTTAGGCAGACTGTGGCCCAGGAATATGTTAATTATTGTGGATGAAGATAGACCAGGTGATTTGAAGATAAGGTATGAAGCTCCACGAAATTGTTTAATAAAAGAATAAGATTTTATTGCTAATGAAAATAAAATAATGAGATTTTATGGCTACTGAAAAATAATTGAATGCATAAGAAAATTTGGCAACATACCTAGGTGGCTGAGTTGATCTATTACAGACTGGCCAACAGAACCTTCTAACTTCAGCAATCGTATAATTCCAGCAGTTATCCGACCAACTGAGTCAATTTCAGATTTGCACAGAAACGTGAGGTGCTGAACCTCTTCCTTGGTTACTACTGCCTCGATCTGCACGAAGAAATCATCATCACACACTACCTTCATATAGGTTTTTGATCATAAATATGAAATTCTCATTACCGGTTGTTTAACAGAGAATTTTAGGTTTTCCACTTCCCAATTTGCCATTTCATCATCGACATTCTCACCACCTAAGATCAAGCGAACTTCAAGACCAATACCCCCAGCTGTGTCGTTGAATTCTTTACCCCCATTTTCAATTAGCACTGATGAAGGAATGTCTTTTTGCATATGAGGCTTCAAGATTTGCAGTCCTTGAACTCCAACCTGCAAGTTTTGGCTCAGTATGTATAGTAGATAGAAGTAGGACGTCTTACAAGAAAAGAAACATAAATGAGAGAGTAAAAAATAAACCAACTAACAAGGGGGCTGTAACAGAAGAGGTACACGAGTGGAATGAGAAATCAAAAGTAGAATTTATAGTTGAACAATTAAAAAATAGAGTTTCATTTCGTTAAATAATAATAAAAAAAGTCATTGAATTAGTCGAACAAGCAAGTATCAAAGGAGTTCAAGTACAAATTGTAGAATGTAACAATGAAAAAAAAATTGCACAAGTTGAGTGGACCAGAGGATAAGTTTCTTCTACAAAGCATTCTAGTGAAAATTGATTATTGTTGCTACAAATATAAAAAGATGAAAGGTTTAATTACAAAAAATTTAGTTTAGGGACTTAATTGAAAATTCTTAAAAATTTAGAGAAATAAATGATTTATTAAGCCTAAATAATAATAGTTACAAATTTATGCTAACTAAAAATAATAAAATTAACAGAAAATATCTTAGTATCAATTTCATGTCATAGCATTAGACAATGTGATAACACTATAAGAAATGTTACATATAGTGACATACAAAAAAGTATTACTATATGCACAATATATATAGATATATGTTTATTTGACATATAGTTATACACAATTTTAGTGTTGATTTTGAATGAAATTTAACAACATATTTTGTATGTTACTCTAACTTATACTCATACTTTTTAACAATATATCAATATATATTACATTTATTGTATGAGTAAAAATAATTTTTTAATAACATGTATAATGTTAATATAAAGTGTGTGTCACTATATAATAATTTTTTTATAATATGATCCACCCTAACCGTTACTGGATGACACTAATTTGTGGTTTTCTTGTAGTGCCTGGAGTGTGTACTTGAGCCAATAGGCGAGTATTTAATTTTAATTGCGTCCCACCATAAGCAGAGGTAATGCTTGTGATATTCCATTATACATGATTTATAAATTTGTAAGAATTCCAATTAACCATGCAATGAAAAGCCACTGACCAAAATACGCGACATGAACAACCAATTTTATATTAGTTCATAAGACCACGACATAACATTTGATGCAGCAATGAGAGGATAGAAATACCCCTTAATTCGAAACATGTCAAATTAAATATGGGTATTGTTCAAAGAAATTTCACTTTTTCTCAGAATGGATCATAATCTGCACCCTACAAATTAAATATGGGTATTGTTCAAAGAAATTTCACTTAGCATACATAGAGGAGATAAATTAATTAAAAACAAAGGATACATTTTTCATCACATCACATGGCCTTGGCCTTCACCATTCCCTAGCAAGGAAAGTATGTAACTTGGAAGTTTCCATTTATGTACTCTTGTACATATCTCTTTCAGAAGAATAATTAATCAGACCTTCCATGGCAGCAGAGTTGTTAAACAATTCATGAATACTCTCACATCCTGCTGTTCTAAATGCTTCAACAGCCATCATAATGTCATCATCTTGCAAGATTGGCTCATAGCTTTCCATTGTCTTTTGAGTTTGACTACTACTTTCTTTAACATTACCATCAACCTTATATGAGAGTGAAATTTCGGTGTCAGTGAATTGCCCTACATTGGTTGAGACAGTACACTTTTTATTTGGGAAGCTCCACGTGGATATCGGTGATTGAAGATCATGATTTGTGACAAGTATGAGGGCATACATGTTATACACTGTGTTGTTGAGTGTAGTTGATGGTGAATCTGATGAAAAAAAAGGTTGAATGGGGATTTTGCTTGTGACTAGCTGTGAGGGAAGGAAGGAGCTAGCTCCAACTTGCAACATGGATTCTCTAGCTTCAGCTTCAAGTCGAGCACTCTCCCATTGTGCCATGTGGCTCATATTGGTGGCATGTTTCACTAGTGGAAAATTAGCATATTACGTCACCCCTTTTACGTCAGAAATACTTAAATCCGACGTAAAAAAAACGCGGTGGCATTTTTGTAATTTTTGCGTCCTTTTTTACGTCGGACCTGGTAGGGTCCAACGTAAAAAGTCCAATCTACGTCGGAGGTGTGTTGTGTCCGACGTAGATTGAACTTTTTACCACTGTAAGAAAGGACGCAAATTTGAATAAGAGAGCGCGAGGCACACCGCGCGCATTCACTTTTCATCACTTTTCATTTTTTTCTCTGTAAACCCTCTCCCTCTTCTTTGTTACTGAATCGTTTTCTTGTTTTTTGCAGAGGGATGAACTCTTTGTTACTCATTTGCACATTGTTG